ACTTTCCCCAGTGGTGGCAGGAAGAGGCAAAAGGGGGTGGGTGGCTGGAGCAGGACCATGGCAGGGAGGTTGCCTGTCTGCTGAGGGGAGGCTCAGGAAGGCGAGGAAAAGTGACGTAGGGTCTTCGATCTTCTTCATTTAACCTTTAGAAAGATATTTTAAAGGCTCTCTTCATTCTAATGCTCTGCAGTTCCAGTCCTCCTAATAGACAGTGTGTTTCACATCAAAATGCCCAGTGTGCATGTTGTAAGTAGAGACTCCTGGGCTGCATTTGGGCCTCTGGATCAGTGCCTCCGGGAGTGGCCAAGAGCATGGTGATGTGCTCTTGGGTGACCTCTTTAAAATGCAAGTTTGTGAAAGGGTGGAGGTGATGTCTGCCTTTCTCATTCCTGTATCCCCCAAACCTGGCCCAACACTGGGATGAGGTGTTCAGTACATGTTTCTTGATGGCTGGGTGACTGAATAAGCGAGTGCTACAGGTACAGGAACGTGTGTATGAGTTTGACAAAGATGGAGAGGAAGAGGGCTGCAGCTCTCTTGCAGCCTTGGCTTGCTTTCTTCCCTCCTCTGGGCTAAGTCCCCCTTTCCTCCTCAGGGCCCTTGGCCTAAGTGAGCCCAGACTTCTTCCTGCCTGTGTACTTGATGGCAGCAGCAGTCTGTGCTTCCTGTTTCCCCTTCACTCGCGTCCCTGAGAGGGGAAGAGACTCGATATGAAAACCAACCACACCCCAGAGGTTTGCTGTCTGCTTTAATAGGAGGGATAGAGGCGAACAGTTTAGAGAAACGTATAAAAAGACCTTTTACTTTTTGCTGGAACATGAAATCGTTTGTGCATAGCACATACATATTTTAAAAAAAATAGAAGCGTTACATTTCACAAGCACACAACTGAACAGCTTTCAGTTTTCCTACCTGCTGTACTCAAGCGGAGGACAGCTCTGCACCGGGACCCAGCCTGCCGTCCTTAATGAGTTACAGCTGTCTGCAGCTGGAATTTCAGTAGTTCAGTGAGGTATACAAACAGGAGTCTGTGCTGGCTGTCTGCATGCTGCACTAGATTCAGGATCTGATCGAGGCCCCATCCTGGACTCCTCCTACTGTAGGAAGAAGACTCCTCCGCGCAGGTATAAGCACACTCTGGGGTTTTCTATCTATTCCACTTTATTCTGAAAATCCCTATCTTGGGAGCTTTTCAGAGATGTGACAGGCATTGTAGATCTTTCTGCTGGTGAAGGAGGAGCAAGTATGATAGGGATACAAGGGGTGGCAAGCGGCAGAAACATCTCCCCAGCAACAATCAGCCCAGCGTTCGGGGAAAAGCATAGAAATGGAAAGGTGTAAGACTTTCCAGTTGTGTCCACATGGAACAGGAAAGAAGGGAATAGAGGGCAGAGAGGATGTCCTGGGGTCTCAGTGTCGGCAACTACATTCGGTAGCTGTGTCTGCCCCAGTGACCGCAGCACAACCGCAAAGGCAGTGGGTGTCAGACATGAGAGGAAAGGAGAGCAGCGGTCCATGGGTGCTTCCGTGTCCTTCTTCCTCAGGCCTCGCACAGAGTGAGCATTTGAAGGAGCAGCAAAGGGCCCAGTGTCCATGTCCTGGAGGAGATGTCCACACTGCCCAGGGAAGGACTGGGAACAGGAGAGAATTTCTGGCTTGAGTATCAGCCTGGAGAAAGACCTCTACTGTATGTCTAAAGAGGAGAGAAATTTATGTCCTGAATCAGATGACAAGAGAAAACATTCTCTTTCTTCAGCCATAGGATGACCTTGATCAAAGCTCGCAGGAGGGTGAAGGTGAGTGTTGGAGGGATTATGGGTGGTGGCCAAGGAGAAGGCTCTACAAGATAATGATACAGTATTCATTGCAAAATTAAGTGCTGCTTTCCAAAGGAAGTTAAAAAATGTATGGAAAGTAGGAAGGGAGGATGGATGTGATAAGTGAGACAAGCATAATTGATAGCTTCAGCAAGAAACTTAGAATTCTCTGGTTTCCTAGGACCATGAGGTTGGTCCATTTCCTGGAGGAGGACGGAGGTTTTACAAGGGTCCTGGAACCCCTTGCTTCTAAGCTGACCTTCTCCCAGGAGAGAAGGTCTTCAAGCATATGTAGGCAAACTGTTCTCTTCCCTATGATTGGTTCTTGAAAGAGTAAAATAGCCGCTTGGCTTTGGAATCCCAAGTTTGCAAGTAGCTGCCAGAGAAGGGTTAGGACCGAAGAGAGGCCAGTTAGCTGTACTCCCAGCTACTCATGAGGCTGAGCTGGGAGGACTGCAGGACTGTAGACAGTCTGGACAACTTAGCAAGACCTGGTCTCAAAATAATAATAACAATAATAATAATAATGGTAATAATAATAATAATAACAACAACAACAATAAGGCTGGAGATCTAGCTCAGAGGTAGAGTGCCTCTAGGGTCAATTCCCCAGTCTTGGGAAATAAACAAAGACAACTCTGTAAACTAGGGATATTGCTCAGGATTTGGGGGAGGAAGGACCCCAATCTTTCTTAGTACAGTATATCCGTGAAAGGGAGGCGCTCACTCTGTTTTCTTGCCTGTGGCAATGTCTGCTGCAGCCTTTTAAATCCATGGGGCTGATGGCCAATTTCAGGGCTCAGTGACCAAGTGGCCAGGTAGGAAAACTGCACCTGTGCAGAGTAGCATGAGAGAAGGGACTGAGATGCCCCTTGCTGACCTTACTCTGCTTCCATCACTTAACCCACTTCTGTGGATCAGAATTGACATTTCTTAAGCCCAAGTCACTTATAGGTTGAAGATAAAGCCCTTGATAGAATTCCTTTGCATAAAAAAGTTCAAAACCATCAACCATGCACCCTTACATCCAGGGCTGATATTCAAAATGCTTCACAGCTAGCACCACACAGGCCTGGCTATGAGTTAGAACAGAGGCCCAGCTTCTCATAATCAACCCCGGTCATAGAAAATCAGCGTTGCTAGTGCTACATCAAGGCTACACATCAAACCTGCTCAATTGTAGGCACTTTATAGCTTCTCTGTCTTACTCCTGGCACAAAAGGAGGAAATAGACATAATTTGTAAGATCTTTTGTCAGGATCTGAGTGATTTTTTGAAGCTCTAGAGAGATCCAATAAAGATCTCACAGTCCCAGGCCTGGCAGATTCTCTTTAGAAAATTGCCTCCTCTCAAGTGAACTCAAAAATTTGTGAAGGAAGGAGCTAATGCTTTGGGACCTAGAATTTTCTCTCTTATCCAGGTCCCAGTCCAAGCATCCTCCCAGTCGTCCTATACTCCCAGTTATAACAGGAATGGATACACATTCGAGGCTCTGCGTGCCTCTGTTTCTGATATGAACTATCGAAGAGACCAATTACACTGGACAAGACTTCTTTAAAAACTGTCAGCTTTGTCATCTGCCTCCAAGTGCAGCTGCACATCTATATTCCCAAATGTCAAGATGGATGGATCTTTTTCTCCCTTTCACTTGACCCAAGAACCAGCTTCTAGTTTCCATCCAAGGCTTGGCCCTGTCTGCACATACCAGCTGTTAAACCTTAGCCCACCTTGGTGTGGCCTTTTCATCCTCACTCAACCCATGTCCTACTTGCAGGGCAGGGGAGGTGGCCACTATGGTGTCTCTCCTGGGGGTTGCCAACCTCTATCTTCAGCTCAGGATCGCTCAGCCCAGATCTATCTATAGATGGATTCCTCTGTGAATAGAGAGGCATGCTGGAGATGAAGGTATTTGCAACAGATGAAGGATTGTCTTGCAGGTTGGGGCCCCCAAGAGTAGCAGAGGGGGTCAGGTCATTTTGTAACTCGATGGGTTCACATATGCCAAGCATATTTGTACTCCGATACGGCTCTCTCTGGTTTCAGATTTAGGAACATTCCACTGGTTCAGGAATCCAAAGGCTCCAGGCACACCACATTTATAGTTGCTTGGGGAACCTCTGCTTGAAATACTCTCAAAGGAGAGGAGGCGAGAAGGCATTGTGCCGCAAGGAGCAGTTTCAGCTTGGCTGCTTGATTTCACGGGATTAGCACTCCTCTCCTACTGTAGAGAGCAGAGGGGGCAAACTCTGGAGGTCATGGTGTCCATCTATCGTATCCAGGCTGTAGTGCATATGCGAGAGGAGGGTGCCCAAGAAGGAAGTGATAGTAACGGATGAGAACTTGGGCAAATTTCCTGGACATACTTGGAAAGAAATGATCGCTTGCAGTCCAAAGCCTCTCTACTTCCTTCATGCCCTATTTTGCTACCCCTTCCTTGCCAAAGAGGTTGCCATTATTAGGATCCTTGTCATCTGAGGTTAAAATAAGGTCCAGTTCAAAGTGAGGAAAAGTTACAGGCAGGCAGCCTGGCCCCTGCTTGTCCTGGGAGCCACACACCAGTGCTGAGTCCTCCAGGGAGAAAGGCTGTCACAGAACATCAAGTCTCTCTGCTGCCTTCCAGTCCCTCTACTTCCTCCACTGCCCTGCACAGCGCTCCACTGAGCATGGGCCCCTTCCCTGACAGTGCATCCCTCCTCCCCTGACAGTGCATCCCAGCGTCCCCAGAGCCCTACCAAGATTTGGGGCATCTTGTTCCTCCTTTTTTGGCTTGCAGTTAACCCTTGCACCCTCCCGCCCTGCCCTCCCCAAATTTGGAGGACAGCTGCTCCCAACTACCAGTGCAGTCTGTGCAGTTAGTGGCCTCTGAACGAAAAGATGATGGGAAAGTGGCAGAATGGCAGCACACATCAATCCTCTTGGTTTGGCAGGTGACATTCTTACAGGCGAATTCCTGCGGTGATGACGCTGAGCAAGAGAAATCTAATGCTTTAAGATGCTTCTGCTCTGAGAATATACACAGATGTATAGATATACACTGACATACGTACTCACACCCTGGCCCTGTCCTGTGCGCATGTTCACATTCCACAAATGTCACCAACACTTTCTCACCGCAGATGAGGTCCAAGCACAGGATCCACTGCCATTCTACAATGTCTGTTGCAGCCCCTGAAGTGGGTTACATGCCATGGGGTTCAGCAGCCAAGGAAACCAACTCAGGTCTCCCCAGGCACAAGACAAGTCTGACTGAGAAGCCAGGGGAGATAGGGGGATTGTTCGCTCGTGCAAAATTCCATCGGTGAACTTTCGTTCATGGGCCTTTATATCCTGGGCAGGAAGTGAGTGGCGGTCATCACTGGGGACACTTTGTTGCCCCGCTTTACCCGTCCATATTTGCTCAGTGCAATGTAGGTCCCTCGGTACAAGTCTGACTCGTAGGCATTGTAATTGTTGGGCAGAATGATTTCTCTGAACTTGCATTCATCTTGGAAGCTGGGCTGTGAAAGAAACAGACCACAGAGACTCAGTGATAGATAAGGAGAGCTGCTACTGCTGGCTGAGTGAGGCGCAGTGGCCATAGGCCGTTTTCCCTCCCTTCCCTCTGTAAGACAACCTCCTCGTGCCTCCTCTGTGCCTTTCCTGAGGGACAGAGTCAAGGAAGGGAAGAGTGGGGAAAGACTTCAGAGCTGTATGGCTCTTCCTCACCTTTCTCCTGGGTTTTGTGATGGCAATGGGGCGTGAGGGGGAGGGCTGATGGTCCCCTGACTACCAGCCTGGGGCGCTCTGACTCAGTCTTTAGATGATAATGCCTTCTATTCGGTATGTGGACCGAGGAAGGCCATAGTGAGCTGTCTTCTCCAGCCCTCTGTGAGAGGTAGTCTGGTGAGGCAGGATTGAGATCCAGTGTTCATTTCAGTGACTTCTCTACGTTCTGATTCTATAAGCCCAGTCACGTTCATCCCTTCTCCACCTTTTCTGCACATGGTGTAGGTGGGGGAGCTGGGGGGGGGTGCAGAGGAGTGCAGACAGATGAACTGTAAGTCCTGTCCAGCACTGTCTTTATCTTTTTGTGATTGACTCCTCACTACCAAGTTTGATTCTCCTCAAAGAGGCGTGTCTTGGCTTTGGCATTGAGACCAGAAGGTATCTGGTACCTCTAAGACATTCGTGGTTCTCCAGGGCCACACAGGAACAGAGATGGTGAGGAGTAGCAATTTTTGTGGAGAAAAGAACTTGATTTCCAACATGACAGGTGGTGCCCAGGAGTTTGAGGCCAACAGTAAATGGTCCCCTCATTGCTTATTTGGTAGAGACTCATGTGGGGACCACCTGTTCAGAAGATGAATGAATGTCAGATTTCCTGTCGTATATCTTTAAGTCCATGCCTAGTAAATCACCCAAGTCCTCCATTTTCCCTGGAAAAGAGGGTTTTTTCCTCCCCAACCCTCCTGGGTCACTGCTGTAGGGCGAGTCCACAGGGTTTTCCATGTTCTTTTGAGGGGTTGTTATGAGGGATCTAGAGGAAGAGACAGATGGGACCCAGGAGAACTGGGACCTGGGCTTAAAAGAAATACAGAATTAAGCAGAGGGAAATAGGTGGAGTAAAATTTCTGCCACCTTCCTGCTGACTTAGCTCAGCTACTGGTGCAGAGGTGCCAGAGGCGTCCTTAGACCTTCTATAAAGAAGCTCTACTCTGCTCTCCGCTTCCTCTGCAACAAGTGGGGGCAGCATCCTCCTGTTGGTTGTGAAGGAGCGATAAGGAGCCCATGAGTCAGGGCACCCATGCTCCAGAGCCCTTGTGGCATGACTTTCAGACAGCATCTGAAACAGATCCCTGGAGATATTCCTGATCCCGGAGACAAGGGTATATCTTGTTTAGGATGCGATGGTAACTGAGGGATTTGATAAGGACAACCCTGACATGCACTGGTAGTTCTTCCTGTGTAACAGGGCTGAGGGCTGGTATTTCTGATTGGAGAGCTCTGATCATCACTACACACACATGCACAGGTGTGGATAAGCAGGCACACCCGCATATACCCACACCCGCCCACACACATGCCTACCTTCTCCTCTCTTGCTCTTGTGTTTCGTTTACAAAACACTTTCATATGTGTTAATTTACTTGGAATCAACATGAAGAATTTTACCACTTCCTGCAGCCTATGAAGGGTTTGCATGCCCCTTGCTCTGCGAGCTCAGTAGATATTTCTCTTATGGATGAAGAAAGGAAGCCCCACAAGCAAGGAGAACAAACTGTCCAAGTAGACAATGAGAATATTTGCACCAGGGCTTTGAGCTTAGACTGATGGTGATCACCTCTTAGCTATGCAGACCTGGGTGAACTGTTTAACCTTCTAAGCCTCAGCTCCTTCTTCTGGAAAGCAAGGAAAGTAGGAATAATCATGCTGTGAAATTGAAGTGAGCATCTATAGAAACAGTGCATGGAAAGTCTAGTGTCCAATGCTTGGCACATAGTAAATTAAAAATAATAATGTTATTTTTATTTTTCCTGTAAGATTGGCTGTGGATTGTTAGACAGTTTAGCCTTTAAACTCTACAAGTTTTTTTTTAATTTGTTCATTTATTTATTTTGTACTGGGGATTAATTCAGGAACATTTATTTATTTATTTATTTATTATTTTTATTTAATTTAATTTTTTTTTTTTTACTTTTGAGACAGGGTCTTGCTGAATCACTATGTTGCCTAGGCTGGTCTCCAACTTGTGACCCTCAACCTCTCAGAGTACTGGAATTACAGGGCACCACTATGCCTGGGTAAGCTTTGTGGCTTTTAGTGGAATACCTAGGAGATGTGTGCTTGTGAGAAAAAAGCATGGAGCTCGGCTGAGGAGGAAGACACAGCTCTGGCCTGTGCAGGGGGTCAACAATGGCTCCACACCACGACTCTTTTTCTGCAGGGGGAAACACAGTGAGCCACAGGACCTGAGACTGCGGCTATGAAATAATACCCGGACAGCAGCGGCCTTAGCAGAAATTAAACTCAGAACTGATTGTAAAAGTTAAATGACAAATTTAGAATATACTGCTTAAATGTTGTTACAGATCAATGAACAAAACAGAGTCTAGCAGTCAATGAAACACATGTAAAAATAAAATAAAAATAAATTTAAAACTAATCTGAAATTGACCTAAAATAGAAGTACCATTTCAAACCACCGGAAAAAACATGGAATTGGAACAACTAGACATTATCAGATCATAATTAATAATTATAAAGTTGGATGGGTGACCTCACTCTTTATATCAAAGTGAATCCCCAAAAGAACAAAATTTAAACATAACAATGGTAATCACTGGTCTAGAAAAAAATTTGTAACCTCAGAATCAAGATCTGTCTGAGCAAGACACACATAAAAAACCTCAGAAGTCATTTATAAAAACTAATAAATTGAACTTGTGTTTGAAAAATATTACCTCAAGCAAAATAAAAACATAAATGGTAAAGTGCATAAACATATTTACTATACTATATGTCAAGAGAAATTTTTTTTCTTGTCTAGAGAAAATTTTGCTATTATAGTTAGCATCCTTAACTTACTGGAAAATGAACACATGGATAGAAAAATTCACAGGAAAGGAGAAATAAGCATAAGAAAATGTGTAATAAAAGAAATGTAAATCATAACTGAAAGATCACATTTTTAATGATCAGATTGCAAAGAAATCACACTTGATACTATAACTGGTGAGAGAAGGCATTTCACCTAATGTTCTTTGGTGTGTATACGGTTAAAACTCTTTATACAAAGTACTTTGATAATATCTTCCAGAATAAAAAATGGGCACAGAAAATAATCAGCAATTCCACTTCTAGGAAATTTATCTTATTATTGTACTATCATATATGCACAAAAGTTACAGACACATTATTATAAAAGAACAAAAACAACCAAACTGTCTGTTCAGAAGGGTGTGTGCTAGTTGATATGGGAGACTATAGCCTTGGGAGACTATAGCCATGTCATGGGAGACTATAGCCATGCAAAAACAAGACACTGATGTAAAATGGTCTTAAAGGGATATTGCTATGTGAAGATGCCAGGTTTGAAATACTGCACACAGAATACCCGTTTGTGCGATTTTTAAAACCTGATACTTGAGTGAGTGTGCCCATGCGTGCATGCATGCACACACACACAAGCACACATGCACACACATTCAGGTTATTCCTGGAATGGCCCATGAGGAACTGGCAGCAGTGGCTGCCTCTGGGGAGGAATTTGCTGGCTGCAAGATGCGATAGGAGTGGGATTTAGGTCTATGGAAGATTCTTTTGCATCTCTTTTTCCATTTGAGCTATGTTTGTGTGCTATCCATCCAAGTAAGTGAAGCATTTGTTGTGGGAAAGGAATGCATAGTACAAGACGGGCCAGGGAGTGGAGTGAGAGAGCATTTTGTCAGAGCTGTAGGATCTCCTGGTGGTGTCACAACCCACTCCACCTGCTTGCCTTTTCCTCTGTCCTAACTTTCTATGTCCGGGAAGGGAACCCCCTTACAACTTCCAGGAGAATTTCCTTCTGAGCGGGATGGTGGTTAAGGAAGAGGTTTCATGTGTTGTTTGCAAACTCAAGAGAGGAAGTCAAACCTTAGGGCAGAAAGATAGGCAGAGGAAGGGGAGGCAGGGAAGCGGAGTAACTTCTCAACAGCACAAGGGCACCACCCACCTCCCACCGTCCATGGCATGCTTGTCTGTGAGCAAGCCTCTCTTGAGTGTGCACAAGTGTGGTTGGGTGTGGAGCTGACCCTCTGTCCCCATGGGCTCTGCATCCCCAGATTCAATGAACCATGGATTTAAAATACTTGGAAAAACTTTGTGCTTGTATTGGATAGACTTTTGCTTTGGTCATCATTCCGTAAACAGCATTATACTCACACAGGATGTCCATGCAGTAGGTATTGTAAGCAACACAGCGGTGACTAGAACTATACAAGAAGACGTGCGTAGGTTATGTGCAGACGGTGTGTCATCACATAAGGGAACTAAGGGGGTTGTGGAACTGTATTCTACTTTGTTCTCTACTCATCAGATTTTTTCCGCAGTGCTGGGGGTCAAAACCAGGCCCTTGCATGTGTTAGGCAAGCTGTCTGCCACTGAGTGGCAACCTCAGCCTTGCCCATTAGATTCTGATTATTCAAATCCTATCCTGGCCCCTTTTTTAAAAAAATTGAATTTTCCTACTTTTGTTCGTCTTTGTTCTGGCCTTTTCCTCCAGCCCAGTGGGGGTGAACTTAGGTGTGTGTACTGCAGTGGGCAAACAGAGCTCTCTCTGTGGCACACAAGCAAGGTAACCCCAGCAGCACCCCAGCAGTGAGCATTGGATAACACACACATAGGGGCAGTGCTGGCCATTTTGATAAATAAGCAGGTTTGGGGTCGCAGTTTGGGCACTCGGGCTCTGAAAGTTTCACCACCACTGCTCTAGCCTATGGCTTATTCCTACAACTCTGTGACCTTGACTGAAAAGGGAGAAGGAGGTAAAGCTGCTTTTAGAAGCAGCACGCCAGCTCCGCTTGCTGCTTCCTTGGGGTCAGTGGCTCCCAGGCCCGTGGCCTGTCTTCTGGACAGGCGTGTGCCCAAATGCTTTAATGCACTCCAATGCTTCAGACTGATAGCTTTTCCCAGTGACCAGCAATGCTCAAGACCCAGCCACTTAATTCCTCTCCATCCTATCCCTGAGCTTTGAGTTCTCATGACTCAGGAATGTTGGCTTCTCAGCTCTGGTGAGAAAAGCACTCCAGCCAAGTAAACGCTGTGTTAATAAAAGCAGCTCCCACATATAATCACTTGAACAAATGAAAATAATTCCACCAGATCACATTTCCTGGGCCTGCCAGGTTTAAGCTCCAGCATGACAATGTCTTGGATTCCACGGAGGTCTAATCAGACTCATGTGGAAACAAACTTCACTTAAAAAAACAAAAGCATTCCACTGTCACTCTGGAGCAGCACGCTCTGCAGAGGCCACGTGTCTGGCAGTTCTGGTGAGTTACCTCTGGCAGAAGAGCCCCTCAACGTCTTTAGGGGACAGGACTCCCTCCTCTTGTCTCTAGACAGAGTTAAGTCACTTCTGTCTTTAAAGATTATCATCCTGCAGCTACTTCGACCCCTGTGACTCCTCAGGGGACAGCAGTGGGTCGAATGGAAGGAAGCAGCAAAATGAGAAAGCTAAAACAAAACCAACTCTGTCCTAAGATTTTCTTCTTTTGCAGTCTTTCACTGCTTCTCTTCCTGCCCTTAGAAATACCCTCTAGCTCTGAAGATGCTGGCAGTTTCTAACTCCTTTTCCTATTACACAATTGTTAGGAAAATGGCACCATCTAAATTGCACTGCAATGTTGGAAATGTTGAGAAATGTCTTCGTAGGGTTGGCCTAGCCGTACCAGTGATCTAGCCATACCAGTGCTCCCCTCCTGGTACCCCAGGCCCTCCTCTGCATGTCCTCGTGTGTGTCCTTTGTCCCTGCCCCTTGGGAACTTTTTCTCTGCTGGGTGAGGGTGGCAACCAACTTAGGGGGTGGAGGACTTGGAATTCTCCAGATAATCACCACAAGGGGGGTCTATGTGTGAAACCAATTTTATGCTTTGAATGTTGTCATGCTACTGTTGAGTAAAAGGATGTAAATGCAATCATAAGTAGTAAAACTAAAGTCACTTAAAATAACTGAATTCTTAGTAAACGTTGGTTTAGTATGTCTTTTTCTCAACTAATGAATGTCAACAGAAACCCCATGAGGTGGAGATTTTTTGATGAATTTTTTTTTTTTTTTTTTTTTTTTTACTTAATTGATTTAATTTTAAAACGGGGTTGGGGGTTGCTAAACTGCTCAGGGTGACCTGGAACTCAACATTCTCCTGCCTCAGCCTCCCAAGTAGCTGGAATTACAGCTCCCAGGCCCATGCCCAGCTGATTTCCTTAATTTTAAAAGGAAAGGTTAGAATGCACGCATTTCGTTTTCAGTCTACAGTTTATCCAAAGTGAGATGGTAGCTAGGCAGGGGGACCGGAACTGGAGCTCGGGTCCCAGTCTGCTCCGCCAAAAGCGCCTAGTGCTGTGGGCTGGGCAGCTCTGCCTAGGCAGGGCTCAGAGCTCGGCCGGACCTGGGACTCTGATGAGGCCAGGTGCAATGGGAGGACCAAGCTCACAGAGCGTCCCGGGGCACTGTGCGATGAAGCTGGCCCGGGCCTCTGTAGTGTGGTGTGGGTGCGGGTGCAGGGCTGCTCTTTATCCTAAGAAGGGCCCTGCGCCCCTTTTCCCAGAGGTACGGCTCAGGGCGGCCTCTCCTAGCTGAGTGCCCGACCCTACTCCCTCCTCGTGAGAAAACCACTCAGGGAGCAGCAGCTGGGCCTCAGCTCCGGGCGGAAAGGACCGGGTGCGAATGAAATCACCGCCCAGCGGGAGTCTTCCTGGCTCCGGGGTCAGCTGGCGATTGTTCTTTCAGACTGTGGGGAGGCCCCAGGCACCGGCGGAGGGGACCAGACGTCCGCGGGAGCACGGCTGTTGGGACAGAGTCTCCACTGAACGAGATGCTCTCCAGCCACCGGGTGTGGGGCGGGGAGCGGGACAGAGACAGGCTCCCCGCTTTCCTGGGAGGCTGGTCCGTCAGGGAGCCCAGCCGTTCCAGAGCCCGCTGAGCGCCTGTGCCACACTTCAAAGCCTTGGCTCTTTTCCATTTGCTTCTCCCAGTGGCTTTTCCCCTTTGGGTCTCTCTGTCTCTCCTCTCTCTGTCTCTCTGTCTCTCTCTGTCTCTCTCTCGATCTTTTTTTTCCCTTTTGTTCATTTTTGGCAGTACTGGAGATTAACTCAGGACCTTCGCTCTGCACTACATTCCCAGCAGTACTTTTTATTTTTCATTTTGAGAGGAGTTCTTGCTGAATCACTAAATTGCCCCAACTGGGCTCTCACATGTCATTGTCCTGGTCCTGCCCCTGCCTCCCTCTCCCAGAGTGCTAGCATCGCAGGTGTGCGTATTCCCAGCCGCCCCCTCCTCCTTCCACCAGGAACTGGAGGTTCAGGTGGAAACTGGGTAAGTTGACCTTGCATTTGTGCCCGGTCCCCTCTGCACAGTTAAATTCCTTTCCAGGTAAAAAGGAAGAAACAGTATTTAGCTTGTCCAGGGAAGGTGACAATGCAAGGGTTTCTGTGACCCATGCCCCCTGCTAAGGAGATGGGGCTGTTAGGAGCCCTGCATGGACCCTGGCGCTGCACCCAGCAGGCTTTTGGGCCAGTGCAGAGTGTGAGCAGGGCTCCTTGGGAGGCCAGAACCCACCGTGCAGGGAGGCTTCCTCCACCACAGCCCTGGAGAGCGCCAGGCTGCTCCCTCTCCCCATTACTTTCCTGGAGAGTGGTGAGAAGGGCAGCCTGGGTCCACAGGTTAGACAGAGTCCCTGTCTCCTGGGCCCCAGCTCCCAGGGCCAGTGTGATCCTGCTAGAGCACGGCTCCCTGTCTCCTCAGGCCCTGAAGCTTGGTGGTCCCCAAGCTTACTTGTGCCTGAGAAATTTAAAAACAAATCAGACAGATCTGTAGCCTGCAACCATTTGACTAAGAAATCTCTGAAGGGAGTCCACACACACACAAAGAAGGCATAGTTTTTTTCTTTTTTTGAGACAAGGTCTCACTACACTATGTTGATCTCACTATGTAGCCCAGGCTGGTCTTGAATTCATGGGAATCCTCCTGCCTCAGCCTCCCAAGTGCTGGGATTACAGGCATACACCACCATGCCCAGTTGAGAAGTCCATACTTTTAACAAGAGGTTACCAAGTGATTTGGGTGCAGACTGTTCAGAGAACTACATTGGAGGCTCACTGATTTTAACCCATGCCACATACCCTCCCAACCCACTAAACTTGTGAATCAGCACTCAAAGGCACAGAGCAGAGGCTTTTGGTGCACCAGTGTCACGTGTGAGCGGCAGCAGAACAACCTCCCCCTCTCCATAAATAATACTGCTGTTCTTTGAGGCCTGCTCTGAGTGCTTCCTTCTTAATGTCTTTATTTCTTCCAGTAGGACTCAGTTTTGCCAATTTCATTGGGATGTTTTCCTAACCCATCTTTTGGAATAGGCCAAATCATGGGCTGAGAACCCCAGACATGAGGGGGTCAGAGACTGCCCAGGTGGCAGTAAATGAGCTTAGATGCCAGCATCCTCCCTCCCTGGGGTGACTATGCCTAGGGAGGGCTAAGACTTGTGCTTGTTGAAAAGGGAGCAGAGAGAGGGTATCTATCTCCTCAGTCTAGGAGCCTGGAGACCAGAGGAAGTCAAACCTAGGAATAAAATCTCAGCTGGAGTAAAGATGAGAAGCAGGTTCCTTCTCCACACCTCCTGTGTCTCTCTGAGGGATGACACGGAGCCATACACCAGGCTGGATCTCCAGGCGTCTCCAGCTCGGGGATTCAGACCTGACCATGGGCTTGGATGACAGTTTTGTGCCGGAACACAGACTTCCCTCCCAGCTATGGTTTCTCTAATTCTAAGGATCCAGACAGGATTAAGAAGAGCCAAGTCCAAGTCCAAGCTGAGTAACTGGGAACCTGACAAAGCAAAGCTGAGGCCCCTCCTTTGCAAAGGCTCCTTTTTTAGCCCTTCACTCCTCATTCTAGGTAAAGATTCCCTTCTCCTGACTGCATTTGCACTGTGTTCTTCAATTGCATAAGCATCAGGCCTCATGTAACCTGTAGCTTCCCCTGGCTGAATACACTCACCGTTGCGTATAATCTTCCTTTCCTGTTCATAGCAACAAAGAGGGCACTTCTCACTCCAAAGAGACTCACCACTCCTTGTTCCACTGTGGAAATTTCCAGCAGGCCTGACAAGGAAATGAGGACCGTGTCACCCAAGGCTCGTGCAAGTCAGAATGGGGACCCAACCCTATAGGAACATCCACTCCATCCCCTCCTCCCAGCAGGCTACCCCAACCTATACTGCCTCTGCCCTCATCTCTCCAACTCTAGGAGACTGTGCTGCTGAATTTGTCATAACCCATCCCTATCCTGTTAAACATGCATTTCTGCTAGGAAAAGTTCTGCATCAGAGTTGGGGATTACTTGATTACTTACATGTTTAAGATTAGCTTTGAATCTGGGTTTTCACTGACTTAAATCATTCTAGGTCATTGGCTTGGGTAAAAACATGAATTCTCATTATTATTTTAAAAATATATGGCTACATTTTTCAACTATTCTCAATCTACCTATCACCACAAACTCCACAGCAATGCATCGGCTTGTGGCTGGCCTGGACCCCACCCCATCTAGGCTTTGTTAGGACAGAGTCCTTGTAGCTACTTGTCAACTTATATGAAAAGGAGGGACCTGGCGACATATGGAGATAACTGAAAATTTTTTTGAAAGGGGTGTGTTTGCACTGGAAATATTGCAAACCACTTGTCTTTCCTTCTCAGAGAAGCTAAATAAAAATAAGTTTGTGCCTAATTTGGTCCAAGTACCCTACTCATTCTCCCCACCACTGCCTTAATGGCCCTCCAGGCTGATGGCTCCCAGTCATCTCCAGTTGGGCCAGTGAGGTTGCAGTAGTCAGTGCTGCAGGGGCTGGCAAAGGGCACCAAGCTGCTTGGTTACTGGCATCTTGAGCTTGAGCTATCTAAGGGGCACATAGCATTTCTCCCCCTTCAGACTAGGGTCCTATCCACCAGAGCCAGACTCCTCCACCACTAGCCCTGCTTGAGCCCAAGCCCCCAAGCATCCCAACTGGCTGCAGCTGGCACTCACTGTAGGGGTTCTCTTCATGGGCTCCACTGATCTTGCCGTTGATGGGCACCTGGAGGTGGAAGCCAATGCCCACGTTGCAGTAGAGTCGCCGCTGTCGCTTGATCCCCACTAAATAGCCGTTTTCCCAGTTCACTCCAGTGATCTCTCCAGCCAGCCCCGCACGAGACCTGGACAGCAGTTTGCTCCAGCCCCTGGAGTCCAGCAGTGTGCTGTTGGCGCGGGTGCCTGCCGGCAAAGGCACTACCATGCCCACTAGGACACCGAGGAAGACAAGAGCCTGCAGTGTGCACTGGAGACGGCCTGCTGTCCGGGACATAGTGATGAACAGCCTCTGTTCCAGGGCCATCCACCTTGCCTCTCAGGCACGTGGTCAGAATTAATGGCCCTAAAAATACCGCCCTTCTTGTTTTTCTCCCCTCGGCATGGCGGCAGGGGCTTATTTTTGGAAGGCAGATGAAGGCTGCTGACATGAAACCAAAACCTGCTTCGGGCACTCGGCTTGAGAGCACAGGGACCCAGGCTGAGCCACAGGCGGGAGAGACCATGGCTCGGGGGACACTCTTACACTCTCTTGCTCGCTCTGCCCGGGGTGATTCTGTTTGATATGACCTATCTTTATAGCGTAGCAGCTGGCCCTCCCCTCCACCCAGCATCAGCCTGACGTCAGCCTCCCAGCACATGCACCCAGGGCTGTAACATTAACCTGCTCCTGGTCTGGCCGCCTCCCCAGAACCCCACCACCTGCCCTACTCCCTGGGGATCCTGGGTGCCACTGTCATTCCAACTGTGGGGCAGGAATGAAGTTAGTAGGGGCATCTCTGGGTAAGAGGGAGATGGCTGGGGACCCAGGGACGGGGGAGACAGAGGCCACTCAGGACCCAAATTGGGCAGCAGTTCTTAGCCTAGCAGCCCTGGTTCCTTTACTTGGAGGGCAAAGATAAGGAGGACTGGGGAGGGTGTGGCCACAGGTGAAGATGGCAGCTGACAAGCTCCTCTCCTGACCTCTTTAGGAAAGAGCTTGTGGTGCGAGGGCCCTGAAAAGCCACATCATACAGCGAGAGAGTGCAGAGATTCCGCTGGAGGCTCATCCAGAGAGGCCTAGACCGTGGCAGCAGGAAGGTGGGGTGTTTCTTCCCCTGTTGACCATCCTGGCCAGGGCATTTACCAGTGGTAGAGGTGGTGTCTGGCCCCTGGCCATTCTCTGAATGCAGCCCATCCTTGGCATCTGACTGACAGTATTTCCACCATACAGATGAGAAAGCTGAGGTGGGCAGGGGTTACGCGGCGTGCCCGAGTCACTATACGCAGGGTGTGGCCTAGGCAGAGGCTATAGTCTGCTAAAGTCCCAAACCTGTGCGTGATAGTGCAGGCAGCAGAAGTTGAATTTGCAGGTTGGTCCAACATCTGTTTAGATCATTATACATCAAAGGTACCTCAGGGAGCTAGTTCAGTAGCACAAAACTACTCACTTGTTAAAAAATAATAACTTATCAAATGCCTTTGATATACATGAGAATTTGTGTATCTGCAGCTAACTTTTGTTAGGCTCATGTTATAGTTAGAAACTAAATATAAAACTATTTCCATAGTTATTCCTACACCCCATTTTCTTTTCCCATATTACTTTAAATAGATTGAATGTTGTAATTGAAGCAAAAGTCCCTTTAAAAGGCTAAAAAAGCAATAAAAGCCCTCACAAATTGCAATGCAAATATAAGAAGAAACTGCATCTCTGAAGATGAAATAATGAATGAGTCCGAGCTGATTGTACTGGGGCCTGGCAGGGGTGTGTGTTTGGGAGGGAGCGAGGCATGGCCGTGGAGTAGGGTGGGTTTGGCCATCCTGAGTTGGTCCCATCGAGGGGTTGGCAGCTCCCCACCCTGCAGGCTGCAGGCCTAGGCCTCCCACTCTGCTTGGGTCCGGTCCCTGGTCTGTGTTTCTGACTGCCTTCTGTCCCTTTGCCACCTTCATTTGAACTGATGCTTCACTTCGTATTTCTATTCAGCTGTGTATTTCAGTTTTGCCTAGATTCACTTGCTCAGATTCCTTGAAGCCTCGACACCTTCTATCATTGTCCCTGCTGGCAAACTGAAGGCAGAGGGACATGTGTGTCTTGCTCACTATTGTCTGGTTGCTAAGCTCCCCATCCCCTGACCATCTTCTTGCTCCCCATCACTTCTGCTGCCCTATGCTAAACTTTATCCTCACCAGTGGTGCCATTTCCTATAACAAGGGAAGACTGGTGCCTTGCGAGCATAGATTTAATCGACTGCATAGCCTCTTTTTGGAAAAAGATTGGAAGCATCTTTCTACAGAGTAATAGCATCATGAATAATCCAAAGACAAGACTGTCAACACAGGAACTTTGCCTTAGAATGTCACCTTGACTTCTTCCCTTTAAGCTGTCATGTGTGTGAGAGCCGTGGGGACCCTTCCTTGCTTGTGCTCCACTTGGAATCCAGGCTCACCTGCTTGTTGTCCTGGCTTGGGAAGGGGCAGCCCAGAAACATATAGGAAGGTAAGGAAGATGTGATTGTTTGCATAGGAAATGTCCCCTGGAGGCCTACGAGTTGAACCTGAGGATAATGGAACCTCTACAATGTGGCAGGAAGTTAGGTCAATGCTCTTGAGGGGATCATGGGACACCAGTCTCTCTCTCTCTCTCTCTCGCTCTCTCTCTCTCTCTCTCTGGGATTCCTGGCTTTCTTCACCATATTCTTGCTCCTACCAGAAGGTACAGGGCCACCACAGGTCCTGACAACAGGACCAAGTGACCATGGACTGAAATCCCTGAAACTGTGAGTCAAAATAAATCTTTCTTCCTTTTATGTTGATTATCTCACGTAACAGACAGCTGACTAGCACAAGGTGGTCCAGAACTAATACCTGCTTTGCACAAGTGGAGAGATGCTCCTCCGTGGGGGCCGGATCTACATGGAATACTTCTTGGAACCCTCTACTTTGGGATTATCTTCAAAAAGGAGAATAAAATATAACAAGGTCTACCAATAAAAATAGTAAATCTTTTTAGGATTACCTCTCCTAAACTCCTTTCTGTGCAGATGTGGTTGTGGTTGATGTCTTATGAGCTTTGGAATTGGGATACCTTGATTGGAATTCCGGCTGTACCGCTTACTAGCTGTGCAACCTTGGAAAAGTTGTGGACCTCTCTGCATGTCATTTTTTTTAAATCCTAGAATTAAACAATTCATAGGGTTGTTACAGTGATTAGCAACCATGCATGCAAAGGGTCATTGAAGAGCACAACACACCTATTCCCCAATTTGTTCTCTGAAACACATTGGAAATCTCTCACCTAGTTAAGGAAGGACAAATTCCTAGTGAGAAGGATCATTTCTCTTCTCCAGGGAGAGACACATGGGCTTTCAGTTCTTAGCTACTGTCCGCCACAGCATATACTGTGATGGCTGTTAACATATGTAGCAGCAGGCAGCCCAGATTCCTAAAATATTCTGAAAACCAGTAATAGCCTTGGTGTCGTCCCATGTTAAATATAAAACTTAAGTAATTCATTCTATTAAAAAGCCTGGGTCTTATTTTTATCGGGTGATGCTATGAGGCCCTGTTCTAAATGTGCCTCCTGTGCCTGTCTCTATAGCAACTCCACTGTGCTCGTATAGCCATATATTTTTTCTGGAGGCTAATTAAGTTGACAACTGCTAGGGCTTCTTGGTTTACCAGATTTGCACTTGACCCTTCACTTGGGGCTTAGGGACCCCTATGGATGTGAAGTGATAAAGAAAAGAGTAACAGGTGGAGGAGGCCTCTCATGCACCCCTCTTCAAATAGTTGCCCAGGAGCCTTTGGGGTTGTCAATCACTCTCTCTGGGTGAGCCAAGACTTGGTAGAGGTGAGCAGGGAAATATGTTAATGTGTCTTCTTCCACCACAGGGTCCTTTTCTTGCATGGAGCATCAGGAAATGTAAATGGGTCAAACTGGGTAGCTTAGCTACAGCTACCTTTCGTATCAGCTGCAAGCCCTCCGTCACAGGCAGGTAGGGTGTCCTCTGTGTCTCCTGTTTATTACATAATAAGGTTCAGACAGCCCAGAAGTGACCCAAAGGGAAAGTACATGCAACTCAGAAAAGCCATATCCTTCGACAGAGGAAAAGTGTGCACTTACACTTAAAAGGTAACATGTGCCTTTTTCTATTGATCATTTAGAAAATGCAGCAAAGTCTAAGGTAGAAAAAAATAACAATTTGTGCTTGTTTGCCTTTATATCTTTTCACTCAAAGTCTTTGCTCTATCTTGGCCTAGGAGATGACTTCCTGTTTCCTTTCTTGCTCAAGTACCTGTGCACCTGTCATAGGTTGCCCATAGGGCTTAATCAGCAGGAGAGGGGCAAGAATAGAGGTGAGGTCCTAGGAAGAATCCCTGCCCTCGACCTGAGCAAAGATGGTCACTTGCAGTTCATCAAACTTGCTAAAAAAGAGAGCAAAATTTTCAACCGGGTCAAAGGTCTCCAGAGTGGGTTTCTGCAGGGAAGCATAGGCTTTTGTCTTGGTAGCTGTCCCATGGAGCAACACATACTTTGTAATTTCCTAGAAGCTAACTTCCTGAAGTCCTCACCTATGACACTGGGAGCCCATTAGCAATCATCACCCAAGTCTCTTTAGGTTTTGCCTCTACCAGTTTGCATGGAGCTTCACTGTATTCCACATCGCCCTCAAGATATTTCTGGAGCAAGATCAAGCCTCCCATTTGTCCAGGAGCACGTGGCTGCTCCTGCTCGGAACCACTCAGGGCATCTATGTGGGTCACTTTGTCATCATCCCTCCCACCTCCTGCAGGACTAGTCTCACGACAGCCTAGTGCCCAGAGTCTGCACAGAGCTAAAGGCATTTTCTGTCATCTTTCAAAGCAAGTCAGCACACACTGGGATCCTGACACCCGGAAAAGGATGTGTTCATTGGAAGTTTACTCTCAGACATCCTGCCCAGAAGAAGATTCACTCTGGTGATGGGTTGAGCTTCTCAGGTTGGGCTTTGTTTTCCTTCAAAATGAATCTTTCTCAGGAGGTTCTTCATCCCTCAAAAGCAGACTTCCACAAGGGTCAGCCCATCTGCTGTCCAAATAGTCTGAATCCCAGGAGGCCCTCCTGTCCTCCTGCACTCCCTGTCTAAGGGAGAGGGGAGCCTTTGTATCCCCAACTTTGTGGTCCAGTTGCCCCATATTTGCAGAATTTCATGGGATGAAGCCCCTTCCTCCACTCCATCCCAGAGACTATCTGCTTGGTTCTTGTGTTACATGATCGATCCTTTCAATCTAAGCCTCCATCTTGCTGTGTCTCTCACTATGATTTCCTATCTCTAGGCTCTCCTC